AGCAGGCGCAGAGTGGGTAACCAGCATGACTACGTCACATGATTAAGCGCAACACTCTGGGGCCAGATTCACGAAGCAGTTACGCAAGTACTTACGAACAAGTACATCTTTCCTCAATCTTTGACGGCTTTGGTTACATTTATTAAACAGTTTACAAGCAAAAAAACTTCCCAGTCAACTGTTGTTATTGTTATAAAGAGCCTCCTAGTGTTTCGGAGCTCATTAACTGTTCAATAATTGTAAACAAAGCCGCCAAAAATTTAGAAAAAATGGACAGGTTCGTAAATGCTTGCGTAACTGCTTCGTGAATCTGGCCCTGGCAGGACTGTAAGTGTTTGTTTGTGTTCCTTGCTTCTAAGGAAATATTTTTTGTCAATTTGTTTGCAAAGTTTGATAAATTTCCTTGCCTAATGTTGAGCACATTATAGCATATTACATGTTAACATATTATGATATCCAGCGTATTGGTATGCGTGGTGAGAAGCGTGAGCCTAAGGTTCCACACACTAACTCCTGGCGCTACGTTGTGTCTGTATTTACTATTTGTATATGCAGAATCTCTATTAGCTCTTGGACCCCACTTTTCTAACCAATTTATTTTCCTCTATAATGTCTACTACATATAATTCTTTCTAACACACGCGCACCTACACCCAGTCCTTGGACCTATACTGTTTCTGATATATGTAAATGATCTCCCAGAGGGTATAGAATCGTTCCTCTCATTATTTGCTGATGATGGAAAAATTATGAGGAGGATTAAGTCAGAGGAAGATAGTATGAGGCTACAAGATGACCTAGACAAACTGAATGAATGGTCCAACAAATGGCTACTAAAGTTCAACCAGAGTAAATGTAAGGTAATGAAGCTAGGCAGTGGAAACAGGAGGCCAGACACAGGATACCGAATGAGAGATGAAATATTTCAAGAAACGGACAGAGAGAAAGATCTAGGAATTGATATCACACCAAACTTATCTCCTGAAGCCCACACAAAAAGAATAACCTTTGCGGCGTATGCAAGGCTGGCTAACGTCAGAACAACCTTCAGGAATCTGTGTAAGGAATCATTCAGAATCTTGTATACCACATATGTAAGACCAATCCTGGAGTATGTAGCCCCAGCATGGAGCCCGTACCTTGTCAAGCACAAGACGAAACTGGAAAAAGCTCAGAGGTATGCCACTAGGCTAGTCCCAGAACTAAGAGGCATGAGTTACGAGGAAAGACTGCGTTAAATACACCTCACGACACTGGAAGACAGAAGAGTAAGGGGAGACATGATTATTACCTACAAAATTCTCAGAGGAATTGACAAGGTAGATAAAGAAAAACTATTTAACACGGGTGGTACGCGAACAAGGGGACTCGGGTGGAAACTGAGAATCCAAATGAGTCACAGGGACGTTAGAAAGAACTTTTTCAGTGTCAGAGTAATTAACAGGTGGAATGGATTAGGCAGTGATGTGGTGGAGGCTGACTCCATACACAGTTTCAAATGTGGATATGACAGAGCCCAGTAGGCTCGGGAATCCGTACACCAGTTGATTGACAGTTGAGAGGCATGACCAAAGAGCCAGAGCTCAACCCCATTTCATGAAGGACGTCATCTGCCATTCTGCATCCTGTGTCTGGCCTCTTGTTTCCACCGCCTAGTTTTATTACCTCACATTTACTCGGGTTGAACTTTGGTAGACATTTGTTTACCATTCATTCAGTTTGTCTAGGTCATCTTGTAGCCTCATACTATCTTCCTCTGTCTTAAACCTCATAATGTTTGCAACATCAGCAAACAATGAGGGGAATGATTCTATACCCTCTGGGAGATCATTTACTTACATTTAGTATTCTAGTAATTAAATGATTTAGTAATCTAAATGCTAAATGATTTACTAATCATTTATTTAGATCTGGTAGATCATTTACTCAGATTTAGATGTGTGTGTGTAATTACCTAAATGTAGTTACAGGATGAGAGCTACGCTCGTGGTGTCCCATCTTCCCAGCACTCTTTGTCATATAACGCTTTGAAACTACTGACGGTCTTGGCCTCCACCACCTTCTCTCCTAACTTGTTCCAACCGTCTACCACTGTTTGCGAAAGTGAATTTTCTTATATTTCTTCGGCATCTGTGTTCAGCTAGTTCATATCTATGACCTCTTGTTCTTGAAGTTCCAGGTCTCAGGAAATCTTCCCGATCGATTGTATCAATTCCTGTTACTATTTTGTACGTAGTGATCATATCACCTCTTTTTCTTCTGTCTTCTAATTTTGGCATATTTAATGCCTCTAACCTCTCCTCGTAGCTCTTGCCCTTCAGTTCTGGGATCCACTTAGTAGCATGTCTTTGCACCTTTTCCAGTTTGTTGATGTGCTTCTTAGGATATGGGCACCACACAACCGCTGCATATTCTAGCTTTGGCCTAACAAAAGTCGTGAACAATTTCTTTAGTATATCGCCATCCATGTACTTAAAAGCAATTCTGAAGTTAGAAAGCT